TTATCAGCATATGTGTAACTCTGTCTATTATAAAAAAAAAATCCGCATTATTAACTGGCACACCTAGTACATGGGTCACACTTTGAGAGCTGCTGCTGCAACTACTAGGTTTCTTGGGCACTCATAATTATGGAATTCGATAGCTTTTCAGAGTCCAACCATTCCATCAGCTACGATTGGCATCATATGGGCACTTCTATTGTGAAACCAATTTCCATTTATTTCATCATACTCTGAAATTAAAAAAAAACAAAAAACCTAGCCCTGGCCCGGTGTTTCGGTTAGAGTGTCATCCCATACACCAAAAGGTTGTAAGTTCAATCCCTGCTTAGGGCTTGTTTGGGAGGCAACCAAACCAATCAATGTTTCTCTCTCACATCGATGGTTTTCTCTCCTCACATTGATGGTTCTCTCTGTTCCCCCGCCCCATCTCTCTCTAAAAAAATCAGTAAAGACCTATCCTCAGGTGAGGATTAAAAAAAATTATCTTTTTAAGTCTAATGCAGAAACTATTTCATCTTCCCAAGTTCAAGAAACATGAAAAAGTTGGAGCCTACACTTCAGCATCCGGGATACATGTTTACATTGTATGGGGTGAATTACAGAATGTTATATTTAAATGCTATTAAATACCAAAATTCTGTGTTTAACTTTATTTAAACTAAAGAAAGGTGATTAATAATAGGCAGCAGTTTTCACCACAAGACAGTTTTATATTATAAGAACAAAAAAGAATGTATAATTCATAAAGTTTTATAGACAATAACAAAGCTAACATAGTCCTCTTTGTGCATTGAAACATTGCTAACTACACCAAAGCTCCACTTTCTACACATATTAACTGCACTTAATCTTATACTTTACTTATTACATATTAACATCATAATCTGAGGATGCCAACTATGTCCTGATCCAAACCCTAATCAACAGATGGAGTTTTAACTTCAACTGTCATGTCAGATAAATCTTGAGAGCAAAAGAAAAATTCCACTTTTTGTTGGCTTTAGCATTATTTTTGTTGTTTAATCCTTACCTGAGGACATTTTCTCCATTGCTTTTCAATGGAGGGAACGGAGGGGAGTAGAGGGGAGGAGCATTGATGTAAGAGAGACACATCGATTGGTTGCCTCCCCACATGCACCCCAAATGGGGACCGGCTATTGAATCTGCAACCAAGATATGTGCCCTTGACTGGGAATCAAACCAGAGAGAGACCCTTGGGTGAGCCAGCCAACACTCTAACCACTGAACCACAATGGCCAGGGCAGCATTATTTAGCATACCCAAATTTCTCAAAGGTGATTCTCATTAAATTATACATGTTCCTTGTTTTTTTAAAACTAGTCCATCAACATGTTTATAACCAGCCAAGTTTTCATAAAATTGCATCACCAATCCTATATAATAATAGCCTAATATCCAAATTGTCCTTGGGCAGTCATTCCACCGAGAGCTCGCAGCTTGCTATGATGTGCGCAGACCACCATGGGGTGGCGCGGAACATGGCGGGAGCAAGCAGGGCCCATTTGCCGCCCGGCTCCCAGGTGCTAATGGAAGGCCCAGGATAGGAGAGGAATTCCTAACCAATGTAATGGGGAAAACTGAGAAAGAGAAGAATAAGGCAAACTTAAATGTACAGTGCTATGCTGAGATTCAAATGAAGCAAACAATGTAAGAATATCAAGTTCACAGGATCCATAGATTAAAGTTAATGTTCAAGTAGATATTCAAAAAATGAATTTAGGCCGAAACCGGTTTGGCTCAGTGGATAGAGCGTTGGCCTGCAGACTGAAAGGTCCCAGGTTCGATTCCATGTACCTGGGTTGCGGGCACATCCCCAGTGGGAGATGTGCAGGAGGCAGCTGATCGATTTTTCTCTCTCATCGATGTTTCTAACTCTCTATCTCTCTCCCTTCCTCTCTGTAAAAAATCAATAAAATATATTTTTTTAAAAAAAATGAAGTTAGGGAAATTGTTCCCAAAAAGTTACTAATTAACAAATTTTAGACAATTTAAAAAGGAATGAGAAAACTGGGTAAGAAAACTGGTGCCATCCTCAACACCAGAAGACAGTGGAGCAATGTCCACACTAGTCTTAAAACACACACACACGTAGCCTAAACATTTATAACTGGAGGCCCGGTGCACAAAAATTTGTGCACTCAGCCCGTCTGGTGCCCTCTCGCAGTCTGGAACCCCTCGGGAGATGACCACCTGCTGGCTTAGGCCCGCTCCCGGGGGGGATTGGGCCTAAGCTGGCAGTCAGACATCCCTCTGGCAGCCCAGGAGCCCTTGGGGAATGTCCACTTTCCAGCAGGGACTAGGCCAGCCGTGGGCAAACTACGGCCCACGGGCCAGACCCGGCCCGTTTCAAATGAATAAAACTGAAAAAAAAAAAAAAAAAAAAACACTCCCC